ACAACATGTTTTGGTTGGGAATGCTCCTTGTCGTTGGCCATGCGATGCAGTGATTCGTTACTTTCGGTGTAGCAGGCGCACATGGCATGAGTACCTCTCTTCTTGCTTGTTTGGTGGGGATGGAATGGAGTGTACTGTTGAGCTAGCCCTCCCAAGTTGGGTGGCTCAACAATGTAGGTGCACCATGAGTGCACGGTGAATGGCAGAAGCTTGGAAGGTTTGGTTTTGAAGATAAATAGTGGTTTCCGACACGGACTTTTCTTATTGTTGAAGAAATGGGAAAAGCAAAGTGGACTCCTCCAACTTTGGATATGCTGACATGTTAGTCCCTGATAGGATAGTGTTACACTATTCTTGTATCCAAAAGCTCCCTATTTAATCTCTTGTTTAAAATTTAAATAGAGTGCAGATTGTGTGTGTGTGCGCGAGGGAAGCCAGTGCAGAAAAGAGAGTGAGGTTGAGAGTAAATCTCCCTTGTTGATGTTAGAAATTTGAGAGATTCGGATTGTGATTCGAAAATTGTAATCCATTTTCAGTAATGGATTGATTTTTCATCTGAGTAAGTGCCCCGTGGTTTTTCCCATTTGGGTTTTCAACGTAAAAATTCTGGTGTTCTCTTTATTTTACTTTGTTTGCTTATTCTGTTCTTGGGTGTTTGATTGTGTTGCTGATTGGTTTGATTCTGGGCATTAGACCATTTAAACCTCAACAACTGGTATCAGAGCGGGCATTGCACACAAGGTGTTTGTGAAAATTCCCAAGTGAGATTTGGATGATTTTTTTTTTTTCATTCTAGCAACCATGGCAGATGAAAAAGATGGTTCAACCATGATTAAGTTGAACACCTCTAATTACTCCTTGTGGAAGACCTTGATGGAGGACAAGTTGTATTGTAAAGACCTCTATGACCCAATTGAGCACAAAGGCATCAAACCTGCAGAAATTAATGATGCTGATTGGAAAAAGATTGATCGCAAAGCTTGTGCCATAATCCGTAAATGGGTTGACATGAGTGTGATTCATCATGTGGCTCAAGAGAAGCAGTCCTATAAGTTGTGGACTAAGCTCGAAGAGCTGTTTGAAAGAAAGAATGCCCTGAAGAAAGCTTCCCTCATTAGAAAACTAGTCAATCTCAAGTACAAGGAGGGCAAGAATGTGTCTGAGCACTTGAATAATTTTCAAGAAATTTTGAATGAACTAGTTACAATGAAGTTGGCCATTGATGATGAGGTGCAAGCATTGATTTTATTGAGCTCTCTTCCAGATAGTTGGGAGACTTTGGTGGTAACTTTAAGCAACTCAACAAGAGATGGGGAGATGACTTTGCAGCTGGTTAAGGACAGCATATTGAGTAAGGAATCTAGAAGAAAAGAGCAAGGAATTATGAGTTCTGAGTCTGAAGCACTGGTTACTGAGTATAGAGGGAGGAGTAAGCAAAGGTATATTCAAAGAGACAATGACAGACAGTCTCAAGAGAGGTACAGCAAGGGGAAGTCCAGAGGTAGATCAAAATCCAAGAGCAGAGTGACTTGTTACACTTGTGGAAAGCAAAGTCATTATCAAAAGGATTGTTGGCACAACAGAGATAAAAATGTTAGAAAGAGGGCTGATACTCATGAAGAGAAGGAGGCCAAGGAGAACACTGTTGCAATTACTTTTGATGGTGAGGTATACTTGCTATGTGAGAATGATAACATTGATGTTGCTCATCATGATTCTACATGGGTTGTTGATACTGCTGCTTCTTATCATGTCACACCAAATAGAGACTGGTTTAGCTCATATAAAGAAGGTGATTTTGGCTATCTGAAGATGGGAAACAGATCTAAAGCCAAGATTGTGGGTGTTGGTGATGTTTGGCTTGAAACAAACATCGGGCCCAAGTTGCACTTGAAAAATGTGAGATATGTTCCTGAAATACGTCTCAATTTGATATCTACGAGTATGCTAGATGATGATGGCTACCTTAATTATTTCGGTAATGGGACTTGGAAACTCACAAAAGGCACTATGGTTGTGACAAGAGGCAAGAAGAGATTTTCACTCTATGAAACTCAAGCAAAACAGTGTCAAGGACAGATCAATGTTACAGAAGCTGATGCTACTGAGTTATGGCACAAGAGACTTGGGCACTTGAGTGAGAAGGGACTTCAAATCCTTAGCAAAAAGGAACTCCTACCCAGCTTTACAGGTAATCTTTCTAAAACCTGTGCTGATTGTTTAGCTGGCAAGCATCATAGAGTTTCTTTTCACACTTTACCCCTGTCTAGAAGAAAATATGCACTTGATTTGGTTCATACTGATGTTTGCTTCATGAAAGATAAAAGTCTAGGTGGTGCTAGATATTTTGTGACTTTTGTGGATGATTTTTCTAGAAAATTGTGGGCTTATCCCTTGTCTAGTAAAGATCAAGTGCTGGAAAAATTTAAAGAATTTCAGGCAATGACAGAAAGAGAAACTGGGAGGAAATTAAAGTGCATCAGGTCTAATAATGGTGGTGAATACAGTGGACAGTTTGAGCGCTACTGTAGAGAACAAGGAATTAAGCTCGAGAAGACCACTCCTAGAACTCCACAACATAATGGAGTTGCTGAAAGAATGAATAGAACAATATGTGACAAAATTGTCTGTATGCTCTCTCATGCTAAATTGCCAAAGTCCTTTTGGGGTGAGGCTTTGAAGACTGCAGTGTACTTGATAAATCGATCCCCTTTTGTTGTTCTAAATGGTGATGTTCCGAAGAAGATTTGGTCAGGCAAAGAAGTATCCTACAAGCACTTGAGGGTATTTGGCTGTAGGGCATATGTGCATGTTCCAAAAGAGGAGAGAGCAAAGCTTGATGCAAAGACAAAACAGTGTGTGTTCTTGGGATATGGTGATGAGGAGTATGGCTACAGATTATGGGACTTGAAAAACAGAAAATTAATGAGAACCAGAGATGTGGTGTTCATTGAGAATGAGACGGTTGAAGACTCAAAGAAGCAAGATGACAGCGAGCACACTCAAGAAATACCGGACAGTGATTATTGTACTCCTTCAACACCCAAACCAAGTGTTATGAATGATAATCACAGTGAAGTAGATGAGCAGCAAGTTCAAGAGCCTGTTGTTGAACATTTTGTTGAAGAAGAAACACATCAAGAAAAGCAAGTGCAACCACCATAGCAACCTCAAGTTAGGAGGTCCACTAGACTTCATCAACCATCTCGGAAGTACTCCACTGATGAGTATGTGCTCTTGACTGACAGGGGAGAGCCAGAAACTTATTATGAAGCTGTGGAGAGTGAAAACAAGAAGGAATGGTTGATGGCAATGCAAGAAGAAATGAGTTCTTTGCAAGAGAATGGGACTTATGAGCTGGTAGAGCTTCCAAAGGACAAAAAGGCTCTTAACAACAAGTGGGTTTTCAGAGTAAAGTTTGAAGTGAACAATCCCAATCCAAGGTTCAAAGCTAGATTAGTGGTGAAGGGCTTTGGACAACAAAAGGGCATTGATTATGATGAGATTTTCTCACTAGTAATAAAAATGCCATCTATTTGAGCTATTTTGGCTTTGGCAGATTTAGAAATTGAACAGCTGGATGTTAAGACAGCTTCTCCATGGTGATCTTGAGGAGGAGATTTATATGAAGCAACCAAAGGGCTTTGAGGTGCAAGGCAAGAAGAATCTGGTTTGTAAATTGAAGAAAAGCTTGTATGGTCTTAAACAAGCTCCGAGGCAATGGTACCGTAAGTTTGACTCTTTTATGGGGGAGCATAAATTCATTAGAACAGAATTTGATCATTGTGTTTATGTAAAGAGGTATCCAGATGGTGATTTCTTGATACTTTTGCTTTATGTGGATGACATGTTGATTGTTGGTCATGACACAAAGAAAATTGCAGCCTTGAAGACTGACTTGAGCAAGTCCTTTTCTATGAAGGATTTGGGTCCAGCAAAGCAAATTCTTGGAATGAAAATTTTCCGAGATAGAAAGAACAAGAAGCTGTGGTTGTCACAAGAAAAATATATTGAAAAGGTGCTTAACAGGTTCAACATGAGCAAAGCAAAACCTGTGGGCACTCCACTTGCTGGCCATTTCAAACTTAGCACAGAGTAGTGTCCTGCAAGCAAGGAGGAAGCAGAATACATGAAGAATGTGCCCTTTGCTTTTGCAGTTGGTAGTCTAATGGCCATATATAGCTCACGCAGTGGGGGTAGTGAGCAGATTTTTATCCAATCCTGGCAAGCAACATTGGGCAGCAGTTAAGTGGATTTTCAGGTATCTTATAGGTACATCTCACATGTGCTTATGTTATGGTGAGCATGAATCTTTACTTAATGGCTATAGTGATGTTGATTTTGGTGGAGATTTGGACTCTAGAAAGTCCACTTCAGGATACTTGATGCTTTATGCAGGGGGAGCAATTTCATGGAAGTCAAAACTGCAGAAAAGTGTTTCATTATCCACTACAGAAGCTATATATAGCTCTTTTTGAAGCAGGAAAGGAGATTGTATGGATGAAGACGTTTTTTGAAGAATTGGGTCTTAAGCAAGAGAGATTTGTGCTGTTTTTTGATAATCAAAGTGCAATTTACTTGAGCAAGAACCCACAGTTCCATTCTAGAACCAAGCATGTTGATTTGAGGTATCATTGGATACGTGATGCAATTGAAGAAAAGGTGCTTGATGTTGAGAAAGTTCACACGGATGACAACAGTTCTGATATGATGACCAAGTCCTTGGTGAGGAAGCAAATTTGAGTTTTGCATATCACAAGCTGGCTTGGTGGAGCCCCCCAACTAGCTCGGGCGGGGGAGATTGTTGAGCTAGCCCTCCCAAGTTGGGTGGCTCAACAATGTAGGTGCACCATGAGTACACGGTGAATGGCATAAACTCAGAAGGTTTGGTTTTGAAGATGAAGAATGGTTTCCGACACGGACTTTTCTTATTGTTGAAGAAATGGGAAAAGCAAAGTGGACTCCTCCAACTTTGGATATGCTGACATGTTAATCCCTGATAGGATAGTGTTACACTATTCTTGTATCCAAAAGCTCCCTATTTAATCTCTTGTTTTAAATTTAAATAGAGTGCAAATTGTGTGTGTGTGCGCGAGGGAAGCCAGCGAAAAACAGAGAGGGAAACCAGTGCAGAAAAGAGAGTGAGGTTGAGAGTAAATCTCCCTTGTTGATGTTAGAAATTTGAGAGATTCGGATTGTGATCCGAAAATTGTAATCCATTTTCAGTAGTGGATTGATTTTTCATCTAGGTAAGTGTCCCGTGGTTTTTCCCATTTGGGTTTTCCACGTAAAAATTCTGATATTCTCTTTATTTTACTTTGTTTGCTAATTCTGTTCTTAGGTGTTTGATTGTGTTGCTGATTGGTTTGATTCTGGGCATTAGACCATTTAAACCTCAACATGTACTTAGTGTCGTTCACTTTTATTATTATTATTATTATTATTATTTTGAATCATAATAAAAAATTTCTTTCTCTTTATTTTCTTTTTTCTATTTCTTTCAAATCAAATATAACAAAAAAAAGATTATTACTAATTATCTACAGTTGTTTGCTAGTGCGGATTCACTTGGTTGATATATTGATTCATTTATTTTTTTTTATATTGACTATTATAATTTTATCAAAATTTAGTATAAAGAGTAATATTTCAACCCTTTTACAAATTTATTACATAAGCTAAAACATAATAATAATTCGTATCTAAACCCAACTTTGTATTTATTTTGATATATATTTTTTCTCTTTTAACAGCTAAGTAGCCTTCTTCGTACCTAGGCTATAGAAGAGAAAACGGTTTAACCTCCTAAGAACTAAGCATACATACTAGACCTCTACAAGTACAAGAGAGGGTAATGCTCTCTCAAATTAACCAGATAAGGAGCAAGTACCTCTTAATTTAAGGCTGCTGATTAAAAAAAAAATCCTCTCCTTTTTTTTTATTTTATAAAAGAATCCCCTCTTTTTTCTTTTTCTTTTTTTCTTTTTTTTGAAAATAGGTAATGAAAAAAGAGTCCAATCAAGTACTTTGTGACCACATGGGAGTACTCCATGTTTTTATTCTCCAACTCCAACCTGTAAAGCACCAGCAGATGAAGCTGCATCAATGCATTCGAAGGTTTGCCCTTCAAGAACTTTTCTAAATTAATTCATTCCCCAAAATTTTTAAAAATCTTCAAAATATAATAAGTTTCTTTTTATTTTTTTTTTAATAAAAGGTATAATTTGATTAATAATTGAAAAGCAATTATAGTGCAGAGTATACCATACCATGTAGGCTATGCAAGAGAAATAAATAAGCTAGGTAAGATCTATATCACTAATATAAAGAGTTTGGTACTCCATTCAAATAGAACAATTAAGAACTGGAAACCTCTAAATACTAATATATGTTACACAGGCATCAATAAAGTTACGTGATCACATAGAAAGACTACACTGAAACTTACAGTCGTTGCTGGAATCACATCTATTTTGTCATCCAAACCTAGCACGGGAGATTAGGGCACTTGGCGATGCAGTGTCTCCCAGCACCACAATGCTCCATTCAAGTTGAAAATGCCTAGTTTGTTTTACGTTCAGGTGGCTAGCAAAGCAAAACCAGTGCAAAAACATATACTTCCTTAGAAGACCAACAGAACTAGAACCAGAGTCACCCACAGCATCCCTGTTCTTCTATATTTGATTACCAAATCAAAAATTGGAGTGCACTAGGTTCTCTGATGTAGATTGAAGGATGTTGCTGTCTTGTCGGAAATTGGAGTGTACCAGGTTCTTCGAATGCAACCCCTGCCAAGATCCCATCCGAAATTGAAGATATGTTGAAGCGAGATTCTGATCCAGTGAATAAGAAAGCCCAAACCCACCGGCGAGATTATGTCCCTTGATATTCAGTCACAACCTTCAAAAATCAATAATTGATGTAGATTGAAAGATGTCGCTGCCTTGTGGTCCCTTGGACTGAAGTTTCCAAAGCAAGACAGTCGACTAAGAGGGAGGAAGAAATCAGGAGGAGGAAGGGAAGGAAAGAAGACAATAGAGAAAGAAGAAACTCCTTGCCGGAGAGAAATCCTTTGGAGAAACCCGTAACCACCACCCTCAACTCTAGGCAGAGCACAAGAGAAAAATTCTTCATAAGTTTCTTTTTATTAATTTACCCTTCAAGAACATTTTTTAATTAACTGGC